GTGTATGTATACAGACACAGTTTTGTCTACAGTCTGAATTAGCTTGTTTAATACTCTAGATCTTAACCTGTATACACTACTCATACTTGTTACATACTGTTACAGTACATTATTCCTTTCTGTCTTATTATTGCTTACTAATCACTCTAAACCTGTCTCACAAGTATAGTCTTAATTACTACAATCTACTCAACCTTAATTTACACCTGCTTACAATTCAACTTGTAGGGACTGAGCAACAACCAAAACATAGTAACAAAGGTTATATTAAACAGTCTGAGAATGTGTTTATCCTTTTCCAACACAAATCCTGCTTATAGAAGAATGAGGTAGAGGCAGCTAGTACTGTAAGGGTTAAGACTGTAGAAATAGTGTATTATTTACTATTTTTGTATTCTATAATTTCAATATAATTATATTTGATTAATATTTGATAAAAAATTGTATACTAAGCAAAAGCAAGCTATTCAAACACTTGTAATGACTTGTAGGCATTATAAGCAGATATTATACTTTCACAAATTAATAAGTATGTCTTAGCCTTGTAATCTTAGAAAGTATGTTATAATCACTTGTATAACTTGATAATTTACATTATTATAATTGTAATTGTCAAGTTTTACAAGTATTCTTGTTTACTTATTTAACATTGTACTTTCCTTACTTAACCCCCTATGTAGATTATATTAACATTGTGTTACAGTTCTCTGCTCTTGTACCTTCAGTTCCAAGGGTTCTGCACCCTTCTGTACCAGAACTCAGGACTTCTGTCCCTCAGGGGTGCTGTCTATGGACTATATGTGTGCTGACTCTTGCCACTACCCTTCCTTACTTCATCATTCCATTCCTTTGACCACCCCTTTGTTCTTTGTATCATTCTATGGTCTCTTACCCTTTGTCCATCCCTTCATTCTTTGTACCTCTATCTTTGACATTCCTTTCTTTCATTCTTCATGGCTTATCATTCTTAGTGGCTCATGCTCCCTGAGTGCTCTTGTGTAGTTTAGTATATATAGGCATACAAGATCAGACTGGTCCTGTAGTCTTGATCTTGTCTACTCCAGGTAGTCCTGTACTCTTAGGCTCACTCTATATACTCTACTCTTGTCTCACTCTCTCTCTCTGCCTGTTCCACAAGTTCCGACTACGTTCCAGTGCTTGCATCCTGTATTTCTGTTGTGTAGGATAGTTGTAGCCTGGGTCCCCTTGCTGAGCCTTCGGGTCCCCTCTACACTGTTGCTGACACATTGACAAAATTTATAAAAGGTACAAAATGTATATGATTACAAGTAAATATAATACTTAAGACTTTTTTGTAATAACAACTTTTAGTTGGCTCTTAAGTACAACTAATCACTCAGGATTAGGTTACTCACAACTACAGTACAAGTACTAACTATGTTTTCAATTAAGAGGAGCTTAAGAAGATTGTAGCTTTCTCTAGAGCTATCTATAATAATTCCCTCAACCCTACTATACAACTCTTAGAGTATTATCTTATTGTATTATACTTATATAACTTCTATGTTCCTTCTCATATAAGACTAAGCCTGCTACTACTGTTTTAAGACTGTATTCAACATACTAAAATGATACAAGTGTTCTAGAACTTTGTATACTGTAAGAACATAGCTTTGAACTAAGGTAAATACACATATATTCTATATTATATTATTATGAGTACATATACCTTATCCTTTTACTTAAGTACAAAGTGTAGAGCTGAGCAAATCAACAACAGAACTACTATATTCTACTCACACAACTGTAAATGTTCTTAGATTGTTTTACAATTGTCCTTAATGTCTACCAATCCTACTTTAGTACTTAATATAAGTACTCTGAACTCATTTGACCCTTAAGACATTACTCTACTACTAAACCTACTACTTTCTACTCAATCTAATAGCTATTCTAACCTATCTACTGTAAGTTCCACCAGTTCTACTACAGAACATGTTCAACCTAAATCAGAACACATTCAGTCTACTACAGGACTGATTGAAGACACATTCATGACTGTAGAGAATGTCCTAGCACAGTAGTACTGAACTTTATAGTAAGTTACTTAATGTTTTCAGTTGTTTTCTTATTGTTATTTTGTTTATTCTAGTACTAACTCTCTTAGCATTTAGGATTAAATGCTAGAGGGCAAGTGTAACAATTGTACTACATGTGTTGTAAGTGCTTATAGGTGTTTTCTTTTTGTTCACTAGACTACCCTGTATTCTACTACACATGTATATGTATATATAAAGGGTTTTTAAGCTAAGGGTTAGAGGATTCTTTCTCCTTCTTAGTACTCAATTACTAGGTTATCCTAGTCAGTAGTTGAGTGTGCTAGTAAAGAGAGAATCTTTGTGTAAGGCTAGTATACCTATCCTTACACATACTTTCTACTCTATAGTATAAGTAACAGTTGACAAGTGTGTGCTTACAACAATACTAACATATAACCACTCCTATAGTACAACCCTCTCTTTAATACTGTACACACTCTCCTTCCTCACCCATTCTATACTTAACATTAATCTCTACAGGTCCACCCTATGTGTATTTACATTCTCTAGTGTAGTAGACAATACTATTTTAAACAGAAGTAGTAGACTGTCACTTACCCCTCTTGAGCTGAGTCTGTCCATACATTCTACTTCACCTTCTCTGTTTGAGCCAGTATATTCCAGAGATACACCTTTACAATATACAAAAACAACTCAGTTCACTACTCCTCTAATTGTACATTAGTCAGAATATAATTATATGTATACTGATACAGCTTTGTTTACAGCCTGAATCAACTTGTTCAACACTCTGGATCTCAACCTGTATACACTACTCACACTTACTACACACTGTTATAGTATGTCCACCTTTTATCTCCTATTGTCACTTGCTAACTACTCTAAACCTGTCTAACAGGCACAGTCTCAACCTCTACAACTTGCTCAACCTTATCCTACACACACATACAATTTGACTTACAGGCCCTAAGTGACAACCAAACATAGTGACAAAGACTATATCAAACAGTCTGAGAATGTGTTCATCCTTTTCTGACACAAATTCTACTCACAAAAGAACAAGGCAGAGGCTGCTGGTGGTGCAGGGGTTAGGACTGTAGAAATAATGTATCATTTATTATTTTGTACTAAATAATTAAATATAATTATATTTTATTAATTATTTGATAAAAAATTGTATCCAAAGGAAAAGGAAGCAATTCAAACACTTGTAATGACTTATAAGTATTATAAGCAGATATTTACTTTCTCAAATAAATAAGTATGTCTTAGTCTTGTAATCTTAGAAAGTGTTATAATCACTTTTATAACTTGACAATTTATTAAAATTATAATGGAAATT